CCCTACTCTGACTGACTTGATGAATGAGTTGACCTTGCAGTGGAAGAGCATAGAATTAATAAATGAAAGGATTGGAGGTTTAGAACATCGACATGATTATGATAGTGAGTACCTTCAAAGACATTCAAATTTTGAGATAGCTTATAACAAAGCTCAGGCCCGACACTACTAAGGTGAGCCTGATGTTACTTTCCCTGAGTGCGCCGATATACTCAGTATCAGGCCGATCCACCTGCTGATCAAGCAGATGAAGACATAGTGTGGGAGTTTGATATCTGATGTACTTGATGTACTTGTACTTGTACTTTATTTTTGTGATCTTTTGTAATAGAAATGGATGTTTATGTGTAGTTGGACTTTCATTTTTATTATTATGTTGTACTTGGATAATTTTTAATTTCTGTATAAAGTTAGTGTTATAGTTAAAGTTTGCATGTGTAGTATAATGGATATTGTTAGTACTTTGTGAATTGTAATGTAATGTGATTTTTATTTTTGCATTTTAATTTTAATTGTTTTGTGTAGTATTGTGGTTGTGTTAAGAAATATTATGCTTGTTTAATGTTTTAGTTTTATACTTATTTCAAAATTTCATTACCTAAAAATTTCTCTAATGATTTATATGTTTAGAAAGCTCCTAATATTACAGACCAGGTGCAGTAGAAATTTTGAGAAGACTTGCAAAAATTTCATAATGATGAAATTGCCTAGAATACTGAGGTATGATTTATATTTAGAGTTTTTCTTTCCACCTATATCACTTCATATTTAAAAATTTAAGTTTGGGGGAGGGAAGAAAAAGATTAACTATTAGATGTCCTCTATTTAATTATTTTCAAAAATTATTTATATGATTTTATGTAGTGAATTTAATTCAGGTAACTATAATTTTGTAACTAATTAAATAATATGACAAGAAATATTTTTGTAATGAAAATTAATTTTATAACTTAAGATGTTTAGTACAAGAGAATAAGATTATAGTTAACTATTTAAAGTAAAGGAAACTATATTTTGAAATATTAAGAATCTGGAAATTCATTTGAGAAAAAA